CCGTTAGGAGGACCCCTAATTCTTTAAGACTGGGGAAGGGGGGAAGGTAGTAGGGGATGGGGGAGAAGGGGGAGGGTGAGGGAGTTTAGGGGGGGTGGAGGAGGAAAGGGGGTACGTGATCTATGGAAAGGGAAGAGGTGATAAAAAGGAAGGAGAGGAATGTAATGAAGGGGAAAGAGAGTGATTGAAAGAAGGGGAATAGGTGAATGAGGGGAAAACGTATTAGGTGATGGAGAAGGCAAATAATAGGAGAAAGGATGGAAGAGGAGGAGAGTGGAAACAAGAATGGAAGAGGGGGAGAGGAGGTCAAGAGAGGGGGAATGGAGGGCGGCGAGGGGAAGGGTGGGGGGGTAGTGGAGCTATGTGTCGGGATGTGGATATGCGTGGGGAGGAAGGGAGGGAGAGGGAGGAGGAGGGAGGGGAGGTCGCGTCCGGCGTGACTCCAGTGAAACCCCTTCAGCAAGATCCTGGAACCTGGAATTCGGCCAGAGAAGCCCGCCCGCCCGCCCGCCCGCCCGCGCGAATCTTTGAGGTTTAGAAGAACGAGAGAGAGGAAAAAAAATCACTTGAACCGGCATTCCTGAAGAAGCCACAAGTATGGCGCCATTTGTTCTCGCGCCACCCTCTCCTCCCTCCCCTCCCCCACCCTGCCTATCCGCCTCACCCACGACCACCCTCCGCCTATCCGCCCTCTCCCATGACCCCCCCCCACTCCCTCTTTCCCCATTAACACCCCCCCCCATCCCTCTCCTACCCCCCCAGGGCCACCGCACATTCCGATGTGTCACCTGTGCAAAGGTATGTACTGTTTCCCCGCGTGTGCTGTTTGTGTTGTTTGTTGCTCGTTTCGACCTTCATATGTTCTTTGCCTCTTCTGTGTTAGCGGAATATGATTTCTATTTTTTCTCATCACTACCATCATCACTTAGCCATTATTATCATCATCAGTGTCATCATTATCATCGTTTTTATTACCATCATGCCATATTTGTTTAAAAATCCTAAATGTTAATCTTATGGAAATCATCCTTAATTAGTAAAATTGTAGTCAATAACTAAAAAGATAGATAAATAAATAAATACCTTGTACAGGAAACGGTATTAACAGGCAATTAAAGCGATTATTCAACCGCATTATCACAGTTTTCCCTCTCCCTTCCTACCCGATCCCTTTCTTTCCCTTTTCTCATCTCCTTTATATACCTTTCTCCCTTACCCTCTTGTTCTCGTTTCCTTTACTTTGTATGCTTCGTATTTTTTCCCCTCTTCCTTCCCTCCTCCTCTCTCTTCCTTTCCTTCTTTCCCAATTTCTTTATATCATTCTCTTTCTCCTCTTCCCAAACCTCCACATCTTCCTTTCTTCCCTCCCCTTTCTCCTTTCCCCTTCCCTTCTCTTCCTCTTCCTCTTCTTGATTTCCCTCCCTTCCCTCTTCCGATTTCCCTCCCTTCCCTCTCCCTCTCCCTCCTCTCCCTCCTTCCCCCTCCCCTCTCCTTCCTCCCTCCCTCTCCCCTTGTTCGTTTATTATTTGCTTTATCTTTTGGCCTTTATATTTTCTTGCTTTTATCCTGTTTAACGGTTGTTTTACATTACTACAGTTTCAATTCGTGTTCGGGTGAGCATGCGTGTACGTGTTCGTATGCATGTGTGCATGTGTGTGTGTGTGTTGTGTGTTGTGTGTGTGTGTGTGTGTGTGTGTGTTGTGTGTGTGTGTGTGTGTGTGTGTGTGTGTGTGTGTGTGTGTGTGTGTGTGTGTGTGTGTGGTGTGTGTGTGTGTGTGTGTGTGTGTGTGTGTGTGTGTGTGTGTGTGTGTGTGTGTGTGTGTGTGTGTGTGTGTGTGTGTGTGTGTGTGTGTGTGTGTGTGTGTGTGTGTGTGTGTGTGTTGTGTTGTGTGTGTATGCGTGTGTCTACGTGTCCATATGCATGTATCCGTGTGTAAGCATTCGCATTCTTGTGTCTGATAATA